GTTCAGAGCTGGCCCAGGACCACCCCTCACCCCAGACCCCTGCAACACTGCTCTGGGCGGAATCCTGCTCCCAGCCCACTGAAGGCGCTTGACCTGAAGGCTGGGTCTCACCAAGGCTAAGGGCAGCGGGGACCTGCTGGAGACATGGCGGGTGGGGAATGGAGGTCCCAGCGTGAGGCGCCCGCCTCCTGGGATGCCACACCGCACCCCTTGTCCCGCGCTGTCTGCCCCCCACCCCGGGCCCCGCCCGCAGCCCGCTGGAAACTCACCTGGCGCCGTCTCAGCTAGGGGCCTCCGGACACGACCACAGCGAGTCCTCAGGCGTCTGAGAATCAGAGGAGAAATGCGTGGGGTCTAGACTGCGGCGCTCAGGGCTGGGGCCTGCGGGGCACGTGACCGCGGGGCGGGGCCGGGGCGGCCTGCCGGGCTCCGCCGCCTGTCTGGTCCTGGGCTCCGCCATCGTCCTATGCTCCGCCTGTCCTGGGCTCTCCTGCGCGCCCACAAACGTGCCGCTGAACCTCGGTGAGCGCGTCCTGCGGACCCGCTGCCGCCTTGGGCGTCGCCCTCCATGGCCAACTGCTGTCGCCCCCGGAAGCGGCCACTCGTCCCTCCCCACCAGCGGTCAGCTCAGTGCTGACCCAGGGGGCCTTCAGCCCCCACTGCCCTTCCCTCCCAGTCTCCCCTCTGCTGCCCCCAGATGCTTCCTGGTCGGCTCCTGGGAGAGGAGTGCAGGGGAAGGACCTTCTCAAACCCTTTCTCTCTGACCCGGGTTGGAAGGCTGGCCAAGGCCGCCGCAGGAGAGACATGTGATCTCTCCTGCCTCCTCAGTCAGCAGCATCTTGACTGGGTCTGGCTAGAACCTTCCACAGCACCTGCAGACTGTGATTGCTGGGTGACTATAACTCATGATTTATGAGGCCAGCCGGAAAGATTAAGTATAAGCACTCAGACAATGTAGTAAAACATTTTAAATTTTTCCTGTCACTTACATTACATTAATTTACTTTCATTTACGTTCATTTCATTGATTTACTTTCATTATGTATTTGTGAGAGGCAATTATGTTCTGGTTAAAATGGCCTTTGGCATCAACTACGGATTAATCATGACCTAGTTTTGTCATTACTGGTGGGATAACCCTGAGCACCTTGTTTTCATCTCTCTAGCCTATATTTCCAGCTAAGTAAGTTGGAGGAAAAGGTAATTATTCTGACCACAAAGCTGGTAGTGAAATTAGACAGTTAAGACAGTTAGACAGTCTGTCCGCTATTTAGTGCTGCTGTTTGCACACAACAGACCCTCAGTAAGGATTAGATGAAATTTTCACCGGAATTTATGAAAAAGCAATAAATAAATTATAGTGGAAATCTGATTCAAGCTTCTACTTCTTCCTAACCACTGAGAAACTGGGAATCCCAAATGAAACCTCATTGATGTGGTCCCAGAATTTCCAATTCCCTCAAAAGTAAAACTCATTGTCCTTATGAAGCTGCCAGCCCTTCCTGCTCTAACAACCCCTCCCCTCCTCACACAGATCAGGGCTGGGCACCCGACGCACTGAAGACAGTGTGTGGAGGAGACAGTGCCATTCCGTGTCTCACAGACAGCGGGATCTGCTGACCTCTGTCCGTTCTTGACCCTGACAGGATTCCTCTGGGAGACAGCGGGTGTGTGAGGCCCTCATCAGTATCTGCACACACGCCCAAACTCTGCTCACCTCTCCTTTCAAAGATGCTCCTTCAGTGCTGTCTCCACTGTGTCCAACGCCCTGTGTGCAGCTGACCACAGGGAGCCCCTGGTGTCTCCCTCAGCTTCCCCTCAGTCCACCCCTGACTCAGACTGATGTGAGAGCTCAGTGATGGTTCAGGGGACCTGGAGCTGGCGGCAGCACTGACCATTCTCGTTGCTGTTCTGTGTCCCGATCTGCATTCGCTGCTCTGGCTTCCTCATCCCGTGTGCTCTTCCCTCCAGGTTGGTGAGGGGGGGACATGATGGCACCTGTCCAGGCAATGACAGTGACACACAGAGCAATTCAGCAGCATCAACATGATGCATGGCCACTTTTTGAAAGAGCCAGGTTTTCAATCCAGTTTTGTTTGTTTCTATTTCTAAATCATAGACAAGACCTTTTTCAACTCCCCTCCAGTGATGGGTGAGTTGTGGGAATTGGGGTAAGATGAGTGAGAATCATAATTTGCCCCCTGGGAGGGTCTAGGGGGGAAGCAGTTGCTGGGTCCTTACTCAGCCCTGTGAGCACGAGACTCTGCCCAGCCCAGACAGGACACAGCTGCAGGGTCCCCATCAGCACAGGACGCTCCAATGCCCCAGCCCTGGGGAGTTTGGGAGACTACACAGCAGGGGGCACCCACAGTGCAGACCCTGGGGAGACCCACGGCGCCCCCTCCTGCTCCCTGGTCAAACTTCAGCTCTGGGTGGAAATAATGTCAGGGGCACTGGGCTTAGACCTGGTCCCTGTCGCCACAAACATGCACCCTACTGTGAGCCAAGATGCTGGTGTAAGTTGATTATCCAATTTCTCAGAGAGCAAATACTTCCCCAAATCAATAAAGTATTAAAAAGATAACACATTTTTAGATTAAGGTTAAGAGAAATTTTATATTAATAAAAAGGTAAAAGTCTGTCATAGTTCATTAACGATTATCCAAGTCACAGGAGCTGACAAGTGTGGGAAATGGATATCAGAACAGCATCAACCATCTCTCTGACAGCATTGAACACTGAGCTGTCCCACATGCTTTTCCTTCATGTCTTCATTGTGCAATGATGACAAGCATCTGGCACAGGGAGCAGAACAGCAATGTGCTATGGACCTGGCTTATGTATGTTTATGAAGATATATTAAGTATTAATTTGTTCTCCATCATCCAATTAATGAATAAGGACCTATCTGTTAACGCTCTTTGAATAAGAAGAGACTCACAGTCATGGTGGGGTCTCCGAGTCTCACTGTTGGTTGATGTATTTTGGAGCTGAGCCTGCCCCCCATCTTCACAGGCAGAGAGAGAAGGAAAATCTTGGAGGAGTCACGCTAGAGGGATGGAGATAGCCTGGGAGAGGCTGGAGGAGGCTCATGGCGATGAACCACTGGATAGGAGGTCGGGGCCATGGAGCTCCCCCACCTGGTGGTGGTACCATCTCCCCCCTCTCCCTTTCTCTCCTGCTTCGAAGGGCTGAGCCGTTCTGAGCATAGGAGGAGATGTTGGCTGCACTTCCCCATGGGTTTACATCACTGTGTCAGTGTAACTACCCATAACCAGAGCACAGTAATAGTCGGCCTCGTCCTCAGGCTGGGCCCCTGTGGTGGTGAGGGTGGCTTTGTTCCCAGAGATGGATCCAGGGAAGTGATTAGGGACCCCAGAGAGGCGGCTGTTTGTGCTGTAGATGAGTGTGCAGCGAACCTGGCCTGGGGTTTGCTGGTACCAGCTGGGGTCATAACCTGAAGAGACTGACCCAGAGCTAAGGCCACAGGTGAGTGTGACCATCCCTCCTGAAGACAGTGAGAGTGATGGCTCCTGGGTCACCACCATCTGAGAATCCACCCCTAAAACCAACAGGAAAAAGACAGGTGTTGTTATGGGACACAAGGGTCACTCTAAGACCATGCTTTTATGTCTCCCAAGGATGCAGAGACCCTTCATCTTACCTGAGCTGTAAGCGAGGAGCCCGAGAAGAAGCACCGTCCAGGCCATGGTGGGGACACGTACAGGACATCGCCTCCTCAGGCTCCTGGGCTGGAGAGTGACATCCTCAGGGCTTTTTCATGCCTCTCAAACCCATTAGGTGGAGAAGGTGCTTCATGCAAATCAGCTTCCTCTCTTTTCCTGTCCCTGTGTCACCCTTATGTCCCAGGGGGAGATCTTGAAAGGCACAGATGCTGGGAACTCACACAGACCAATGACTGCGCTGTGACTGAGACACTGAGTGATGGGGGCTGATGGCTTTCATCAAATCAGCTCCTCTGCATCCCTGGTGCCTTCAGGATGTAGACTCCAGAATTTCTTCTCTGGAGAGCCTGAGGGCTGAGCGAAGAGACGGGTGTGTTCTCCACCTCCCGGTCCCAGCATCTCGTTCATCTCAAATCCATTCCCATCCCTGGGAAGATTCTTCCTTCCTCAGTGAAATCCCTTCTTGCCTTCTCTGGAGGAGCCTAGGAGTCACTCCTCCCTCCAGCAGCGAGTCCACTGGGAAATCACAGAGCCCATGTCTGGGGTGTGAAGGGACAGGGGTCTCCCCCTGACTCAGTCCTGGACCCTGTCCCACTAGCCGCAGTGGAGCTGACCAGGGCTAGGGTGCTGACTCAGAGGGCTGCACTGCCAGACTTGGGATGGCTCTATGAAACAGTAAATATATGGAGTAGCTTCGATGTAACTGTAGATGTTGAGGGGGAAAGGTCACATTATCTCCATGAAATTATGGGATCCCTCCCAACATGGTATACAACCAAATAGGAATCCACGTGTTCATAATCAGAGAAAATGATAACCCTGCTCCTGAACAAGTGAGCGTGACCATCATGGAGCGTTTTAATCCCCTGCTCCCTTAGTCTCCTGTGGAGCAGAAGGAATGGGAAGGGGCAGGGGGTCTGAGAGGTAAAGGGAAGGCCCAGGAAGATAAACTTCCTCAAGCAGCTGGTAAAGAGAAGCCCCCAAATGGGTGTTGATCACAGTGTGAAATGAAAACATGGTTTGTTATCCATTTCTAAATCTCTAGACTGTTGTCTGATTAATAGAATGTGCATGGTTCTTCTTTCCTTTCTCATCACGTGGGAGGATCAATTTATATCAGACCAAATGACTCATGCTAAGTTGTTTTATGCCTAATAATCAACTAGATGTCTGAGACAGAAGAGAAATATATATATATATTATATATTTAATATGTTTCAAATTTTGATAGGAGAAAATCTTTAAGATAAAAATAAATAATTAGATAATTAAAATATCTGAAAATATAAATGACATCATTTTCCATATATAACTAAGAAATATTACTGAAAAATGAGAAAAAATAGACTAGAAAGACATATTTTCTAAAAACATGACACTTTAAGGGCTAAAGCATTTATTATCCATTTCATCATGAATAAATTGAGAGGTCATAATTGCCAGCATTGTTTCCTGAACTCTGGAGGGAGCCTGAGTGATCTTGGTAAATTGTCTCAGGTATTTGGAAGGCATCATGGTTCAAAACAATTGGGTCCTGCAGAGAAGGTCTGAGTGACAATTCAGAGCCAGCTTTGAATTGAGGATTGGTAAATTGCACGTGGCAGAGCAATCCATGGCCCAGGAGCCCCTCACAGTGCAGGAAGGAGCAGAGAGGAGCTCCCCCTGGTGGCTCTTGGGTGATGCTGCTTGACCCAGGTAAGAGCTCTCCCTTGGCTGTGCTGTCTCTGTCTGAAGGACCAGGCTGATGCTGGCTGCTCATCATGGGCTAGAGGATCAGCAAGTTCCGTGGCCGTGTCTGCAGTAATTCCATCTTTTTCTCCTTTTCTGTGTCAGGGAAGCACCACTGAGAGCTCCAAAATTCCCTCCCTGAATGGGGCAACTGACATATGGTTCAGAATCTCTTCATATCTTGATCTCCCTCCAAAATCCATATTCACCAGCTCCTGCAGACTTGAGTCTGTCTTGATATAGCATGGATTCTACTAGTATGTTGGGCAATTTTTGCATTAATGTCTATAAATGATGGTATCCTATAATTTTCAAATCTGATACTGTTTCTGTTGGGTTGGGTTTCCTATCTTTTTCGAGAATCAGTAAATTAGATTGGACTATGTGCCCTTTAAGTCTTTGGGATACTTCCTTGCATGTGTGATAGAACTCTGCCATGATGCCTTCTGGTTTGGAGTCCATATTAGAGAAGATGTTTCCTCACTCATTTTTCACACACAAACACACACACACACCCCTAGACACTGTGCATGTTGGCATGTGTAGTACAGTCACACACAGGACCCTGGAATTAGGGAGAGAAGGAGGTAGAAAGAATGGAATTACCCACTGCTTGTGCCACATGTCAGGAGAAAAAGCCCCACCCCCACCATCATCCTTCACTTTCCCCCTAATGAAACTCCTTGTTCAGTGAGTGAGGAGGGTGATGAGGGGAGAAATCTGAGTCATGGTGGTGAAGCCCCAGAGTCTTCGTTGCTCAGGTCTACTTGTTGGAACTGTGACTCTCCCGTCTCCAGGCATCTCTTGTCCTGTGCCCAGAGAGCTTCACAGGCCACGTTTCTTCATGCAAATTTGTTCCTGCTGTGTAATCGTGCATCTACACCTTCTTGAACATAAGCTCAGGACAATGTCTCCACGAGATGTAAAGAATGAAATATGAGACTTGGATGTGTGTGTCAGAAACGAGATCGAATGTGGCTCCTGGAGGCCCCAGGTGCAGGAAGTAAAACTTCAATGTGGACACTTGTTGCCCAAGTGTGAAAGACGCATTAGAGTATTTTCCTTGATGGCCTGGGCCAGAACCCTGTCCTCTCAGGAGCAGTCCAACAGCGTCCCCTGCTGGGCTCAGAGCCCATGTCCTATGACACCACCCAGCTGTCCTGGAAGGGGTTGCTGACTTTTGCAGATGGATTTTTTATGATGTCACTGCCCAGGGCAGTAGATTGAGTAAGTCTTCTCTGTGACGTTTGGGGCTGAGACATTGATTTGTTCATGTCACTAATGTCTCATTTGGTTCTCCTCAATGAGGAGGAGAACTCCTGGAAATCAGGAAATCAAAGTTCTGAAATCAGGTGACAGTGAGAAGTATAGCTTCTTTAAGGTTTCAGAGCTCAGAGAATTATCCGCCAACCCCCGGCTGGTACCAGGAGACATACACAGGACTAGGGTGAGATCACGTGGTTCTTCTGAGTCATAAACGCTGTACTTCGGCCCTTCTCATCCACAAACAGCCCCTGTGGAGGCTATTTTCTTTTTGGAAACAAAGTAATTCTGTTTGCATTGAGAGCTAAGTATCTTCCACTTCCCATGGAATGGGAGCTCTTTGTGGTATTTGGGTTGTATTTAGCTCTGTAGCAGTGATAATCAGCCTCATCCTCAGGCTGGAGCCCAGAGGTGGCCAAAGAGGTTCTAGTAATAAATGTGGATCTCAAGAATCAGTCTGGAACCCCTGGAAGGTCCCCACTGCTGTCCTAGGTCACACAAGTAGGGGCTCTGCATGAGAGTCCTTGGTACCATTGCCATGGTGACACCCAATGTCTCTGCTGCTCCCTGTGCAGGAGAAGGTGACCTTGGATCCGGGCCCATCAGGAGCTTCACAGGAGGAGTCACACATGCACACACTGGGGAGTCCCTGCGCCTGATGTTCACAGCCCCGCCCCACGCCCTGGGTTGTTGGAAAGCTCCAGTGAGGTATGAGAGGAGAGGTGGACACAAGTCATAGCTGTGGGCTCAGGGAAACCCAGTCATGGAAGGCTCCTTGGGTCCTGAGTGGTGTCAGCTGTAAGGTCTTATCCATGGACCTACTTCACCCAACTCCTCTGGAGCAGGCTCGGCATTTTCCAGCATTCTTTGAGCATCCCCCACCCTCTCATGCCCCATAAAGAGGTTCCCTGGACACAAGTCCCAAACTGCCCCTTTGACTAATGCCCCTCTCCCTGACTTTACAACTGAAGGCTCCGGTGCCCAGTGAGGGTTCCAGGCTAGCTCTGTGCCTGGAATTCCCCCCAAGCTCTTTCCTCACTCAGCACCTCACATCGCGGTGTGTCATCCCTGGGACACAGTGAGCCTCGCTGCCCCTGGGCACAGGAGCCTGGAGGATGGGAAGGCCTCTGACCCCTCACAGAGCACAGTCCATTCTGTGCTGGTCTGTCCACCTGTCTTCAGGGTCCCTGGACTCTGATGACAGTAAAAGCTAGGGAAGTCTCATTTTCCTTATTTCAAGAGAAAAAAAATCTTTGGTTCTATTCCACATGAATAACCAGGCAACATTTCAGTGTCATCATGAATTTTTTCTTTTTATTTTTGTGTTTAGTTTTCCTGAGACTTCAGAAACATGGAATGAAAAATTGGGAGTGGATGCACTATGAAACAGAAGCACTTCCGAAGGTCATTTGTATACGTGTGAGTTACTTTAAAACTTAAAACCGTCATGGAACAAGACACTGAGCAGGCCCAGGTTTTTGTCCCAAATTCCCCATCTCTGTGCGCCACTGTGAGAAACACTACTGTGCCAGATCTGATGGTAAGAGTCAGCCTCGTTCTCAGGCTGGAGCCCAGAGATAAGCAAAAAGCCTGCATTGGCCGAGGCATCTTTGGATCCAGAGAAGCAGCTGGGATCTGCTGATCCCAATCACATGCTTGACCAGCTCAGGAGGATCAACCCCCTGCCTAACACCCTTCAGTAACTCCTCACTTCTGTTTGCATAAAACTCAACTCCTCAGCTCCCCTAAGGTGACTTCATGGTCTGGTCCCTGCCCCCTCCATGGGCCACCTCCCAGCCCCTCTCCTTATTCTCAGACCTCTAGCCTCCCTCACTTGCCTGTAGTTTCAAAAGTGGGCATTCCTGTCCCTTTCATGGCTTCCAAGCCAACTCGTCTTCTGTCTATTGGGAATAGATGGGCTTAAACTTGAAATCATGGTGAAAACACACATTTTGGCAACTCTGAGTGTCTCTTAGCAGGACATACCCACAGTACCAGACAGGAGTAGAGAATTTAAAAACTATATTGTGGACAATTTTGAAGTTCCACAAACTACAGAGAATGAGTCAAAGAACAACCTGCACCCGTCACCCAACCTCAAGTGTCATCAATAGAACTCAACTTCTTTAATCTCCAACGCTTCTCTATCACTCATCCTAATACCTAAATATGAAAACAAATTCCAAACACCGTACCAAATCATCGGTCCATGCTTCAGCATGCACATGCATTTTTACTGTCCCAAAATCCTTGGACATTAAAGCAATGCGTCATGACGACTCTCACATAAATGTATTTGCATTGTCATCTCCTGAATGGTTAGCTTATTTGCTTGTTGTACTGACTGAGAAAGTGAAGGAAGAGCAAGGCATCCTATGTTCTGCAGCCGTGAGGTTCATGGATGACAAATTTGAGTAGAAGAAAGTCCAGACCAGCACGTCCATCCTCAGACAATCTACTATGGGTCTCCATTCATGCACTTCAAGAATCGTGTCTTTTTTGGACACTAAGATTTCAAACCCATCATTCTTCCTTCGTGACTTTTCCCACCTGGTTCCACTGGCGGATTTGGGACTAAGGTGTTGCATATTAAATTTCATTCAGCATATGGTGGATTTTGAACTGTTGTATTTAGTATTGTGTGACAATCAATTGTCTCACAGGCTCTTAGTTCAGTGAAATGTGAGCAGATGTTCAAACAACTAACATGCACTCGGCAGTTTATTTGCTCCTGGGGGTCATCTTCTGTCCTCAGAATCGCTCCACCATCCACTGGATGCTCCTGTCTGCTGTCTTGTACCCACAATACAATGCAACCTCCAAGGGTACGTGACTCTGTCTGTTTTCATTCATCTTTGTATCCCATGCTTGAAAAACGCTCACTAAGAGAACAGATGAAGATGGATCTGTTACATCTTCATGTGCATTGTGTAAAACTTTAAAATATTAATTGCACATCTATTCTGGCTAACTGTGTGCTCCACACTCTGGTTGAGAGGAGATTCCGTGTGATTGGGTCACAGGTTCTCTGGCCTCATTTGAGTCTGTGCACCTGTTTTGTGTAACAGATGGGAAAGCGGAAGCACAGAGAGTGACACATCCAGCCTTCTGTCCAGTTGAATGTCGGGAACAGGACTCAACGTCAAAGGCCTCCTAAGAGCTGAGAATATGTTCTTCTAACCCAGAGGGTCCAAAACTGGAGTGATTTGGACCCCATCCCCAGGGCATTCTGGGGAATGTCTGGAGGTGTTTTTGTGTGTCATGACTTGGAGAGTAGGGTGCTGTTATCTGATGTGCGGACCCCAAAGGATGTTTGTAAACATCCTACAATGTAAAGAACAGCCCCCAGCACAGGGAATGACCCAGCCACATTGTCCGGAGTGCCGCGGTTCAGAAACCCTATTTGAACCAAATCACCTCCATGAAATGATTGCAAAGGACGTTGGAAATCATCCATCAAGACATGGGGGGAAATTTTGGAAAAAAAAAATAGATTCATAAACATGCAATCTCAACATGGATATTCCAGCAGGAGACGAGAAAGAACAACTATCTCTGCTGGGGACAGCTTGAGGGCAGACCCAGCATGGGGAGGCTCTGGGGAACTTTCATCTCACTGCCCCACGGGTCTGGAGCACTGTGCGCTTATAGCTGCTGTCATCAGACTGACCGGAGTAGTCGGCCTCGTCCTCAGGCTGCAGCTCAGAGACGGTCAGGCAGGTGGCATTAGGGGAGCTGGCTATGGAGTCAGAAAACTGATCAGGAACCCTGGAGGCTCCTTTGTCACTCTTGTAGATTTCGGTGATGGGGGCACTGCTGGTAGCAGTGCACATATCTGCTCCCAATGTAGCCACTGCTGTGGGTGCAGGAGATGGTGGCCTCCTGCCCTGGAGACTCCAACACAGAGCTGATCTGAGTCAGCACAATCTCAGCCCAAGACCTTGCAAAGAGGGAGCAACACAGAGATCAGTAAGGACAGGACAGACTCTGTTGCCAGGAAAGAGAAAGAGGTCATCATGCCAGGAGACCTCCAGGTGTCCTCCCAGAATTCCCTGGAGGCAGCCACTTGTGCAGTGAGCTATATGGGTGAGGAGGAGTGGAGCCCAGGCCATGGTGGAGATGCCCCCAGACTCTGCTTCCTGAGTCCCACCACCAGGCCTGAGCCCACCAACCCTTCTTGTATGTTACCTGTATTCTCAGGGTGGGAGGTCGCCACTCGAATCTTCCCCTTTCTGGAGGCTGTGGGTGCCCCTCCTTCAACGTTAGCCTGGCCTGCATCTACTAAAAGGAGGGTGTAGGAGAGGAAAGGGCTTCTCCACAAGGATTACACAGGAACACTTCCAAGACTCAGGGGAGAGAGGAGCTCAAAGCTGAGGACCTGGGGAGCACCACGCCCTCTGGTGGATGTTCCACAACAGCATATTCTCGGAATCATTTAGCCCCTCTGCTGTATTTTTCTGTGAACTCGACTAAGTGCCCCAAAGTGCTGAACAAGGACCACAGCTGGCTGCTTGAAACGTGTACAGTTCGCAGCCTATGTGAGCTGTGGACACTGCTCATCCCACAGCTCCTGGTCACCCTGTGGACAGACCTTGCGTAGTTTCACACACTGCACATGGATCTTAGGGTTCAGCAAAGATGAGAGGAACCCCATGCTGATTTCTAGATGTTTTCTGTGAAGGGCGTTCCTCTCCAGAACTCATCCCCGCAGCTCCCAAGAGCCTCGGATCCCTGAGCTCAGGTCTCCGGCTGCTCCACTCGGTGAGAGGCTGTGCGCTGCCTCAGCTCCCCTCTCTGCTCCAGGGGCCAGGCTGTGCATCACACAAAAAGGGTGGGCTGATGATACAACTTGTACCATTTTTCTCCTCACAAAAATAATAATCTTGTTCTGCCTGCTGTCTAATGTTTGAAAGAACTTTTATACATGTATCTGTTTTTCCAGTTGTTTGCAATGGGCAGTTAAATCATTTTTCAGTTATTCGAACACGGTTGCAACTACTTGTGTTTTTAAAATTTCATAAATGCTAGTTTCCAGAGATCTTACTCTGAATCTCACTTTTTTTATTAAGACATCTGTGTTTCCTGAAGATGCGTGGATCTGTTTGAGAACTGAGCTCACGATGTGACTGCTGCGTGGCGCTTGAACAGCCCACCGTGAGCCCACTGCGCGCACAGGCCTCCTCCTGGGCAGGTAATTGAGTTCCATCGATTTCTGTGTGGTTGGTTGTTCTGTTTCATTTCTGCAACCACTGCATACTATTTAAATTATCTGTGTGTTCATATAGATCTCGATATCTAATCATTTATAGCCCACTTCCTTTTCATTTGTTCGCAAAATGCTCTAGGCCATTCTTGGACTTAACTTTTTCCACATAAATATTAGAAAAAATGTCAAGTTTCCCGAATATTCTGACTGATACTACACATAATTATTATATTTATATATTAAATAAGCATACACTTCATATTTTTGATATTAATCATTCTCAGCAACGTCTATTTTTACATTTACTCAGGTCGTGTTTGATCCCCCCGTTGGAATTTTGATCTTTTCCCAGAGCGTCCGTGTGCCTTCTGTGTCAGATGGTTGTCTGGGGTCTCTGCGGGCCTTGTGGTTAATGAAGACGTTGCTGTGTATGCAGAGAGAAGGGGCTGCACTCAAGCTCCACCGGAGCCTGGTTCCCAGCGGAGCGGCCTCTGCTGAGGCGTCAGAAGACACACGCTGGGCCTGGGGCTTTACTGAAGAGGTGACTGAGTGTGAGACACGCACAGAAATGACTCTATAGGCGGTCCTGGAAAAGAGTGTGAGCCCTGAGGCTTCAGTGCCTGTCACAGGCAGGGTCCACAGGACATCCCAATCTTATGGTCCTCACGTGGGAAGGTGGCCTCATGCTGCCAGTTGCCTCTGAGAGGAATGTTGTTCCTGAAGAAAGGTTTTCTGCTGTGTTGAGGTGAACAGGCTAAGTGTGTGATTTTAGCAACAGCTGAATCTAAAGTTTCTCAGTGTCAGCGATCTGTGGAAAGGCCTCAGAGCCTCTGCTGCTCATCACTGGTGAAAAACAACACAGCACATGAAAAGAGGCTCAACACCATGGGGCATAAGGGAAATGCCCGTCAAAATGCACTGAGGTATCACTCCCCCCAGACTAGAAGGGCTATGATAACAATGAGAGACAATAACAATTGTTGGGGAAGATGTGTGGGAATCAGAACATGCAGATGGTGTTGGTGGAAATGTAAACCAGTGCGGCCATATTGGAAAGGATCTGACGGCTCCTCAGCACTGTGATGTAAAGCCCCACACGTCGCAGCAATCCCGCTCCTGGGTGCATCCCCGGCAAATGAAGACACATATTCACCAAAACCAAAGCAAACAGGACTTGTACCTGAACGTTCCTAGCAGCATCGTGCATACTAGCGAAAGATGACAAACAACTCAAATGCCCATCAACAGGTGAATGCATAAACAAATGGTGGTTTGCTCACACAATGGAGTATTATTTGGCGATTAAAAATGGACTACTTTGTCATGCCACAGCATAGATGGACATCAAAACTCTTATGCAAAAGAAATAAGTGAAATAAGGTGGTCACAAAGGGCCACATATTTTCCTGGTTCCAGCTACATGAAATGTCCAGAATAGGGGAATGTATGAAGACAGACAGTGGATGGGCGGTTCCTTAAGGCTGAGCAGAGAGTCAGGAAGAGTGATCTCAAATGGGTGGGGACGTTCTCTGAGGGAGGATGGAGATGATCTATAAGTAGATTACAGAGACAGTTACACAGCCCTGTAAATATGCTGAGCACTACTGTAGACATTACACTGGGGAGCTTTATGACGTGCAGACTACATCTCAATAAAATTATAAACAATGTGAGACTGAGCTTCTGCCACTGACTCTTTAAAGTTGGTCTGTGTTCAGAGTCAGACCCTCAGATGTTGACACTCTAGGATGGGCCACAGTCAACCCTGTTTGTAAGAGGCAGTGTGGAGGTGATCACAGGGAATGGGGCATGTTTTGGTTTCAGTTCCCCATGGGTCCGGAGCACTGTGTTATTGCTGATGCTATCATCCCATGCTGAACAGTAATAATCAGCCTCATCCTCAGGCTGGAGCCCAGAGATGGTCAGATAGGCCGTGTTGCCAGACTTGGAGCCAGAGAACCGAGCTGGGATCCCTGAGGGGCGAGAACTTCTGAGCATCACAGTTTTGGGGGCACTGTGAGAAATTTGGTACCAGCCCACATCAAATATTCCAACGTTGTTGCTATTTCCAGCGCAGGAGAGGGTGACCTTCTGTCCCACAGACCCAGACACTGAGGCTTCCTGTGTCAGCCCAGACTGCGCCCAGGACCCTGGACAGAGGAGGTACAGACACGGAGAGTTGAGACTGGGGTTATTGCCCACAGCATGAGCACAAAATTATGGTTAAAGAGCAGCCAAATTGTCCCCCATAATCACTTCTCCTGCTTTCCAAAGCCAGTCACCTGAGCAGTGAGTGAGGAGGGCGAGGAGGAGAGGGGTCCAGGCCACGGTGGAGACACCCAGGTGCTGCTTCAGAGCCTCAGGAGTGAGGGAACTGCAGAGTCCTCTAATCTCTCCCCTCAGGAGAGCAGAGAGGGCCCCTTCATGCAAACCACCCCCCTCCCCTGGAGTGCCTGGGCCCACATTTGGTGGAAGCTGAGTATGGGTGGGGCTGGGGAGCCTCTCCTGGGGCCCTGGGAGCTCCCAGCTGCTGGGCCGCAGTAAGCACAGAGCAGAGGCACAAGGCAGGGCTCCAGGCTCTGGGTTCCCAGCTGAGATCGCCCCACAGACCCTCCGGACAGGCCCACAGCGCCCCCTGCTGTCTCAGAGCCCAGATTCACCTGTGACTGGGATGGATACCCCTGGGCTGAGCAAGGGGAGAGAGAGACTCTGGACTCTGCCCTGCCTCGCACCCCACCCATCCCCACACAGGGGCCGCCGGGGCTTCTCGTCCCCAGGGGGCTCCTTGCTGTGCTGCAGGTGTCACCGCATCTTTTCCTTACTTCAAAAATGTGGCCTCTTCAGTATAAAGTCACCCCTCTGCCCCTTCCACCGTTAGTTAATTATGTGTTGGGGCCATGGGTGACTGACCCCTCAGAGAGACCGTGTCCTGCAGCCAGTGAGCAGAGGGCAGAGGGCAGAGGGCATTAACCCTCCTCCACACCCTCTCTGTGGGGGACCTGAGGTGACCAGTTCCTCTCTCCCTCATCACAGGTCACTTCCAGCCACGGCAGGCCAGTCTCCATAACCTTCTTTACTTGTCCCCTCCTTTGCCCTCAGTGGGGCAGGGGTCCATTAATAACCACACACAAGGAACTCTTCCAGAAGAACCTTTATTATTTAGGAGAGAGACCTGCTTCTCCTGTTGCTCGTCCACCCTGGGGAAGATGATCAGGGACATCAGTCCCCCCAGGAAGCAGCCAGGAACCCACAGCCCTGAGGGTGGACAGCAGGGTGACTGGGTCTCCCACACACGATGCGGGCTGTGCATTAGGACAGGGCTGGACCTCCGGGGAAGTGCAGAGGGGCTGAACCTGCAAGCAAATGGGTGAGGAAGGTGGCACAGATGTCCCCAGATTTCTTGTCTAAATCCTCTACTCGCAGCCCATGCATCATTTATTCCTACTCTACAGATCCTTCTGTGGCACTGCCATGTGTTAGATATTATCCTGCATGCTTTATGAACATTAACAAAATTATTTCTCCCAGTGACCAGATCCACAAGTGTAGTTACAATGGCTTTAATAAACTTCAGTCGATTACATGCATATATTTCTAGCCAAGCACTTGCTTCCTGACCTCAGTCCTCTACACTCTATTCCTGTAAGTACTTACTGTGTCCGACTGACTGAGTCACAGAAAACATCTGCTCAACTTCTCTACCGCTGAGTCAGACTAAAAGCCAAAGGATGCCCGTGGCCTTAACAGTGTTGTTTCACTCTTGTGGCACTCAAACCCGGAGAGTGCTGAGACTTAGTAGTAGCCAGTCCAAAAGTAATTTTGAATGAAAACATAAATGAGTCAACAAAAAAGACAAACATGCCTCTCCCCTCCCCCACACAGGGTGAAGCATGGATAGAGACACTGTGCCGGACCTGCTCTTTTATCTGTGCTCTAATCGACTGTCCACATCCCCAACTGTGTACATGAATCATCCTAGAGACATCCACACACCTCTCTCACGCATCCCAGCAACCCCCCAGCCTGCGGATCCTTCAACACAAAGACCCCCAGGGGCAGGCCCCTAGCCGAGTGGTTAAGTTCGTGCCCTCCGCTTCAGCAGAGCAGGGTTTCGCGGGTTCAGATCCTGGGTGTGTACATGGCGCCGCTCATCAGGCAATGCTGAGGCAGCGTCCTACATAGCACAACCAGAGGCACTCACAACTAGAATGTACAACTATGGACTGGGGGCACTTTGGTGAGAAGGAGAAAAAGAAAGACAATATTGGCAACAGATGTTAGCTCAGGCGCCAATCTTTCAAAAAACAACTCTAAATTCTGATGAATCTTCTTTGCCGGTGGAGGCAGCCTCTCCAACCCCTGTGGAAACAGCCTCGTGAGGAGTTCCCTGTGATCAGCTTGGGGAGCAGGAGAAGCCTCGGGCCAGATTTCCAGAGCACTCTGTGATACGCAGCCCCCACCCACTCCATTAAAATAGGAAGACAGTTTACAGAAAAGTACCCGAAAGCTATTAATAGGATTCTGAGATATCTATCGAACTATCTGAATTCCAAAAGACATTTTCAAAGAAGACAAACGGTAACCAAGAACACTGACTGCGCACATAGTTTTGTAGTATAATCAGGCAGGAAGGCCCCTGTCCTAAATCAACGGTGCTTAAAGAAGACAGACAGCATAAGGGGACACTCAGAGGCTTGAAGATGACATTAAAAACGAAGGGAATCCTTTCGTAATTCATTCTTTGTCCTTTCATTGTATTTTTCTTCGTATGAATTCAATTGCTTGATATGACAGATGGCCCTGAAACTTGCTTATAATGGGACTTCTATCAATGAAAGCATTCATTGATTTCCAACTACTTGTAGCCCTAAGGATTATGAGAAAGTGCTTCAGAACCCAGTGGTAGAGCTCCGAGCGCCCAGATGCAGGGATGCTGGGAGCTTCCTGTGCTGACGTGTCTGGGGGCGTTCAAACATGGAGGTTCCCTCGGGACCTAACCAGAAGTAAGGGTGCTGCTGTTTTTAAGATGTCTGAAGTCCCTTCAAGACAATCAAAAACTCTCCCATGAAAGATTTTTTAAAGTAACAGAATCTCTTTTCAAATGCTAATCATCACTCCCTAATTTATCTGGTCTGTAAGATAACGGTTTTTCATGGCATAAGGAACATATTATGTTCCAAATAGTCATTCCAGGGATGTGTGCATTTCTTCCTACATGTTGTCTGTTCTCCAAAACAGATAAATTCCAGTAGACAGAGCTCTTTGCAAACAAACGCCTTAAAAAAAATAAACTATTTCATCAAATAATTTGAAAAAAATGGAAATGTGATTTTTTTCATAACAACTAAAGTGTTACTTGATATATGAAGAACCAGGAAAATGTGATCAATTCTCAAGAGTTGAGGACAACCCTGAGATGATCTAAACGTTCAAATTATTAGCCAAAGACAGCTATTACAATTATGCTCAATTATAGAAATGAAAATATGGTCATAATAAACAAAAATATAGGAATCTCAGCATAGAAATTAAAAATATTGAAAAATAGAAATTTTTTTATCTGAAATCTGAAAAAAATTTGAAACTACACAGGCTAAATTGCATAATGAAGATGACAAATGGAAGAGGAAATGATTTTGAAAATAGATAACAGAAATTATCCAATGTGAAGAGGAAAGGGGAAAAAAGAAGATTGAAAAAATTAACAGAACCTGAGGGGCCTGTGGACAACATCAAAGTGTCTGATATACGTGTAACTAGAATCTCAGAAAGAAAAAAGAGAGAAAACGGGGAAGAAAAAACAATGAGGTAATAACGACCAAAATTTCCCAAACTTTAGACATAATTTACATTCATAAAGACATAAATTTAAAAACTCAAGAAGTTTAGAAAATGCCAAACGGATTTTGTTTGGCAAAAAAAACAGATTCAAGGAAAACCGTGCTCTGATACTTACCCACACTGCTAAAAACCAAAAATCAAGAAAAAATCTTGAAAGCAGCTGAAGAAAAATGACAGATCATATGCAGACGATTAATGTTTGAATGATCACAGACAACTCATCAGAAGCATAACGACCCAAAGACAGTGGAACATCTTTAAAGCGCCGAAAGAAAAAAAATTGCAGGCAAAATTCGACATCCAGCAAACACATCTTTCAAGAGTGAAGGTGAAATAAAGACATTTTCAGATAAAAGAAACTAAGAAAATCTGTTGGCACCAGATCTGCATAACAAGAAATGCTAAGGAAAGTTTCTCCAGGATGAAATGAAATAGAATTAGAGGGAAATTTGGATCTTCGGGAATGAATGAAGAACATTAGAAATGTTTGTTTTGTGGAACGTTTATGTAATTAAGTTGATTTTTAAAAATTTAAAGGTGATTTTCCGTGAAAAATTCTGACTGCAACCCCTGCCCTAAGTGAAAGGAGAGCAGGCAGTGTGCTTGGCTGGGGACTCTCCAGTCTTGTCTCCTCAAGCAGAACATCTCTCGGATACTCAGAAACAGATCAGAATATTTGCACGGCTTTCCTACCGGCCAGGAAATAACTGTCTTAAACTGCCTCTTTTTCCACCTTCACATACTATCGTGTGTGATCGAGAGCTCCCGTAACATAGAACAGAACAAAGTGATATGAAAAACATCCAGAATATTTGCTCCTCAGGGTAAATGTCTTGGCTCCTGCACTAGTTTCAGAGATCAAATTCTATAGAAACAACTGAGGTGAATGGTTTTTTTCCCCAGTGGCATCAACAAAATAAGGTAGAAATATACTGATCTCTTAAAAGTCTCAACCTTTTCAGTTCAATTAGTGCTGACATTCCTCAGAATGAAAGACTTTCAAAACTTCTCCGCATTTTTAATACCTGACCCTCCAGTAGATTCTCTCCTAGAAGAGGGACATTACTGAGGCCAGCCGGCAAAATGGGAACATGAATGGCAGCCTCAAGTATCACACCAATGTTCAATGTACTAAAGGCCATAACTGTATGCTGTTATAGAAGGGAATACCCCTATGCTCAGGACACACCCAAGTGTTTAAGGATAAAGGACCACGACGTATGTGTGACCCTCAAAAATAGGTATCTTCATACACAATATGGAGAAGGAGAGAGAGACAACAAAATAAATGATAAAGCAAATGGAGTAAATGTTAACTAAATAGGTGAATCTAGCTAAAGGGTATATGGGTGTTCTTTATACCTTTTGTATTTTTGCAACTTTTCTGTAACTTTACAATTAGTCCAAATAAAACATCATAGGAAGAAAAGACCTGTGGAAACAACCCAGGCCACTCTGCATGTAGCAACAATTGGAAAAAATGTTTCATTCTAATAGGAAATACCTGGTTGTGAAAATCACTTTATTACAACCAGCCACTATAATTACCATTAGCAGGATCCAGAGAAACATTAGGAACGTTTACCATGCAATATTCTTTCCATGCTTAAGCACTGAAGCCATCATAGATTCCTCTTACTTCATATCACCTGGGATTCACGTTTTATGTCACAGTATGTATACAGGAAAATACAGTTTTCCAGTTGGTACCTTCTCAATTCTCTCTTTCTCTTCCCTTCTCTTCCTTTCTCCCTCCCTCCCCCTCATCTCCCCTTCCTGTTTTTCTTTCCTTCTCTCTCCCTTTCTCTCTCTCTCTCTCTGTTTCTACCTCCATCTCTCTCTGTCTATGTCTATGCCTTTCTCTTTCATTCTGCCCAAATAAAGAACTTGGAATTTAATTTAATTTTTGCTCTTAAAAATACTCACATAGACACAGTTCTTAATGTCCTCAGTGACGATTTTGAGGGGAATGCTCTTTGGCTGGTCCTTCTCTTTGGCTAGATCGATGCACCTAATCACATTCAATAATAACCCAAAATAGAGTAGGATGGATTGGCTATTAGCTTCTTTTCAAATAATCTATACTGCTAATATTTTCAGTCTACTTGGTTATTTTTGAAAGCATATAAATAGACTCAGCAAAACCAAATTATGAGTTGGAAGAATATGCAAAAATACTTCATGAAAGTAAGACATGACCCAGAAAATAGCGGGTTGCCCCTGTTGTGTGAGATTTGGCAGTAGATCCAGTCCTCAGAGCTTTCCTGCCTGGTTGGAGGGCCCAGCACCTTCCTGGGTTCAAGGGTAGGAAGTAGTAGCTGCTTTGAGAATCACTCAGTAGAGTAACCTGAACTTAGGGAAATTGAGCATGTGTTTTGAGAGTAACATCGGATCCAATCATTAGGTTGGAGAGAAGGGGAAGATGAGAGTGACAAGCAGAACTTCCTCAAAAATAAGCAAAACATGCATGTAAGTGAGAGGACATTTTTGCAGTAGCAGCCGGGTAAATCTAAACAAGGAGTTATTTGAGGATGCTCAGACAGCTTCTACTAGAGAGAGGGAGAATAGTTCGAGGGCGCTGCTATGAAGAGATCTGCAATCTTTTATTGTGGATCAAAGATTTAGAATATGTATACTGAAAAAATACCTTTGAAGGGAAGAGTGCCATTTTCCTTTAGTTCTGAAAAACTGCAATTTAAAAAAAGGGAGAAAAAATTAAACTACATAAAATACTTATCCTAAGATATTAGAATTGCCATTGTAGATGAAAATAGCAGCAGCCATTTATCACTGACATGGATGCACGTGTCAGTTGTGCTCTCCTCATCATTGGGCATTTGATGGTCCCTGCTGTTTTCCAAGCAGTGTTACAGCGATGGGAAATAGATCGTAAAGTGGAGAGCAGTTGGTTTGGAATCTAAACACGTAATTGCAACTATGTGAGGCAATCTATGTGATCACGGGCAAGTCAATTAGCCACTCTGAGTTTCAGTTTCCAGAACAGGAAAGGGGTTAATTATACCTCAGAGCGTTCCTGCAGCTGGCAGTGCTATTCAAATATAAAAAAGAACCCCTGTGAACCCAGAAGTGTAGACTCAGGATGTCCAGGGTCGGGGGGCCACATTCCCCATCCTCGTGCCAGTCTAAGAACATGTGTCGGAACACTAACTTGTACTCTGGGACCATACCTTTGTCTTGGATTGTCACCTCTCTATAGACACCAAATAATACAATATGTACACAGCAATTCAGGCAACCCAGTATTTGATGACATGATTAATTTTATTTGTATAATTAAATACTATTTTTAAGGGAATGAATTTGGGAGTATAAAAACAACTTTTCAAACTTACTTGGACTATTTAATAGTACTTGCTCACGGAAGATATTCCAGTGATTTAAAAACAGAGCTACTCGCTGGGGATTAGGGGCAGGATGTTGAGAGGGGCCTTAAACCTTACTCCATGTACCCTGAACATCCACCTCCCCAAGTAGCTCCTAGAGCCCATTTGAAAAAGCACTCATCCAAAAAGGAAAGGAAATTACTCCAACAGTTCCCACTGTTCATGATCAATTTGCACATAAAAACCTTTTGGGGGAAAGTACATACAAGTGTCATTATGAGAGGTCAGAAAAGTAGTCATTGAATACAAAAGCTGTAGGTCTTACCTGAAGGTGGCCACAAAGGCCTGTGGGCCAGCCCAAGACAAAGGACCTCTTGGCACAGGTGTCAGCTTCTCCGAATTTGTCCAAACAGTTGGCAATCCATATGGTGTTCAGGGGTACTTTATTTTCTATTATAAAGGTTTTTTTGTAACTAGAAAGATAACCAAACAAGACCTCTGTTGGTTTGTTTCTTAAATCTTATGGGAACAGCTGTGCTCATGGTAAGATGCCAGTTCTCACTGCCCCAGGTTGCAACGTGCCTCCTTTAGCTCTGTGACCCTCTGTGCTCGGCACAGTCAGGGCTTGGATGGGTCTTTACAAAGTGTGTGCCGAGTGACGCCTGGCCCAGGAAGGCCCTGAAAACACTTCCTCAAAGGCAGCAAATAGCCATTTTTCTGCATGTTGAGTATTGAGTACAGACCATACTCGACATTTTAGAGCTTTATTAGAGAACCATGAATTCATTTATTATTCATTTATTATTGTTATATTTGTTACTATATTCACATATATCATTTTATTTACTTAATGACTTATTATTATAATTAATTTATTATTTGTTCATGTCTTGCTTACTTTAAAAAGCATTTGAGCAGCTGAACAAAGATACATGATACATGATTTATAAAAATAATTATACAATTTTTTTCTTGAGAATCAGACTAAAACAGCAATAAGCTTGGATCAGAGGGATTTAAAATACATTTTCAGCCTTAATTTTTTAAAAGATTTTCTAGCATTTAAGCATAGGTTATTTTAAATTTCCTTTATTAAGATTTCATTCATACCATTTTCTATCAGGTTCCGGATCAAACTGAAAAACTGTTAGCATGTGGACTGAACTCAAAATTCAATCAATCAATCGATTGGCCCCACATCAGTGCCCAGGAGGTCTTACATGTAAGTTATGGAGACATTTCCCATTTATCTCTGAGGAATCGGAAGGTGATCGACTTTGTCAGCAGTGAAATGGTTTTCCAACAGTTTCTTCCTAATCTCCTTTGACCTCTGACATGGAAACCACTATATCTCTCGGTGAACTCACAAATTTAACACTCAGCCGAGCCTGAGATTTAGACGGTACAAGTCCTCTGAAGGATGCCTAGGGAACACGGGCACGCCACTTCAGAATTGCCTCCTATTCAGAACCACATGTGGAAACGCTAAAGCTAAAATGAGATCCAAGACACCTCAGGTTCAAAAACCCCTAAGACTCTGCTGACTCATGGGACAGTTAAAGCAAAAAGGCTTCGATGGGATTTATGAAATGAAAATAATTCTGCAGGAAGCCTACCTGAAGGATGACCTAGATTCAAACGTTAGGGCACAGTGGATGCAAATACGCCTTGTGACACAGGTGACTTCTTATACATTTATTTCACATTTTTACCCTATGTTGATGTATTTGAAGATTTGTGTGAAACACAATCAATTCTCAGATAAAATAATTGTTCTAGATCGTAACTCTAAAAGCATTACGAAGCTAAAAATAGTCTACTGCCGATAGGAAAGAGAGACACATGTCGACTTGTTTTTACAGATTTTAAAAGTTTTGTCATGTAGATGTCCATGTGTGGAGACACCTAAGGTACTGTGTGGAAAATTCCAAATATGTGCACCTGAAAGAGTCGTTTCAATAATTCTCTCCAAAGTTCCATAAAGTGCCAAGATTATCCACTTCCTTGAAACCAAACCACGGAGTTGTCAAAAGCCCAGAGATGGTTTTCAGTCTTCTGTAACATTTATTGAGCTCCCACCACATGCCAAGCACTATTCTACATATTTTACAAACATCACTTCACTTAATCCTCAATCCACTATATCTATTAGCTCCGTTTTATTGATGAGGAAACTCACAGAGAGATTAAGAAAATTGCCAAAAGCAAGAGATGGGCTTTGAAGCCAGACAGCCTAAGTCATGAGCCTATGCTCACCACCACTCGGCCTCCATGAGTGCTGACCTGGACAGTTCCATGTAGTGCCCTCCTCATCGTTCCTACCTTCAGCCTCCTTTCTCCCCCCAGAGCCATCAGGCTTTCTGAAGGCATTGTTCTCTCGTTTGAGAGTGAGAGGATCAATCTCCTGACATTCTATCAACAAAGCTAAATGCTAGCCTGGAAATACTGAAAATGTATTACAGCAAAGGCTTGTACTACAGTGGATTCTCCTGAGATCTCACCGCGTTTCTCTGCTCTCAGTGACTGACTCTTCAGATTATGTCAGTAGAAATGAGAAGGGATGAACCTTATGTAAGCTGGCTCAAAGGGAGCAGGAGGAAAAAGGCAGTTTTTATTTCAACCGCATGGGCCCTCGCTATCGATCTGCTAAGATGATGGTATCCCTCTTGCTTTCTTCTACCTCAACGTGGACACGGGAGCATGAGCCCCAGTGAACTGTGGAAAGTCACAGATTCTAGGGAGATTCCCCTCATTCTAAGGCACACGTGTTCCCTTAGATGCTGGGAGTAGGGGTCATGGTATCTTCTGCAAGAATCTTTGTAATGCCACTGATAATAAGCTAATAGTCATCTTCATCTTTTGACCCAAACAAAATTGGATTTCATTGTTTCTATATTCTTTAATAACTAAATATGAGGACAGAGATGTCTGAGGGGGGGTGTGAGCTAAGTAAGTACAGTCTCTTCCTTTCTGTACGTTCTCCATGGGCCTCTACGAGTATTAGTATCTTATGAAGTAGCTGCTGTTTAAAAAAACAAGTCATAATTTCATTTGAAAAATAACTTCTTATTTAGCATTCTAATGAATATCAAAAATGTTAACAAAGTTCCCGTCTGACTTTAATTCTTGAGAACCAAAGTTTCTAATGTAGTATGAAAAAAATGAAAAAAATCTCAAAACATTTTCCACTGACTGTTATTAACATCCAGTACAACTGGAGAAATATAATTTCCTCATGAAGAAAGAACATATAAATCCCCTTTATTATTACACACAAACTAAAGTTCATTTAGCCTGACTAATATATACACAGCAGTCAGTCAACTATTTACTCCCTTTGTGTTGGTTTCTGTAGCATCAACCTGGAGAAGAAAGAGTTTCCAACTGAAGCCTCAAGACACACTGAGGAAAAACGGAACCTAAGTCACTCCACCCCCTTCCCTGAGTAGAAAAAGCAGGCACTAAACTCAGGTGATTAACTTGAACAGATCGATCCAGGACATAACACAATCCTCCATCTGAGAGCGAGGCATGACAGAAAGGAAATAAGTGGCTTGTTGTGGGTGGCTATTTCATTGTAGTTGTTGTTTCTTTGTGGGAAAAAAATGAATGAATTTTCTCATATGAACAGTAATCATGAATGTCCCCAAATGTTTACTATGGAAATAATCTAGTAGCCAGCTTTCTAAAACATGAGGTAAACTCTTGTACAAGATGGCAGCATTGAGTACTGCTTGCTTCCTGCTATGTACTGAATTGTGTCCCCAACTCCCACCCCACCCCCCACCCCCCAATTCATACCTTGAAGCCCTAACAGTCAATATGTCAGTTTTTGGAGATAAAGCTTATAGGAGGTAATTAAGGTTAGATGAGGTCATAAGGGTGGGGTCCTAATCCAATAGGATTGGCAGGAAGAGAGAGATCTCTTTCTCCACAGGCATGCACTGAGGAGAGGCATGCGAGCCCATGGGGAGAAGGCGGCCATCTGCAAGCCGGGAGGGGAGCTCTCATGAGGACCCGACCCTGCTGACAGCCTTATCTCAGACTTCCAGCCTCCAGAACCATGATACATTTCTGTAAATAAATAAATCTCTTTCCTTTGTGGTGAGGAAATGACTAACTCTCATCTGCTTGGTACCTGGTGAGAAATGGAACAGAATGCTCAGGGAACTGAAAAACAAATGAGAAGTCTAGCTATCAAAAAAAATCAGAGGCCAAAATAAAGATAAGAAAATATATTTAAATGAGTGAAATTGCCTCCAGGTGTAGCCTCGGAGATGGTGATGTCATAAAGAGGACAGAGAGAAAAAGACTCTGTCCAGGGCTTGGCATGAGGGCCACTTGAAGCACTAATAATAAATAAATGAATCTCTGTAAATACGTTTCCGTGGTTTAAGCCCAGCAGCCGATGGTATTTGGTTTTGGCAGCCTGACCAGATGAAGACAGTTCCCTTATCAAAAATCTCTGCTCTCTCTAGATCAAGGTCTTCTGAAGCAAATCAAATGCCTTAGATCACCTACACTTTCCAACATTCCCAATGGATGTAGAAAGCATGTAGAAGTAATCTTTCAGGAACTGAGTCTCATAAACAAGAATATTATTGAATAAATTGATAGAGATTGTGTCACATCATGAAACCCTTGAGCAGACACAGAGAGCTCTCTCAAAAGCAGTATGTGAAAGATGGTGGGCATCTTCTGTGATAATGGACCAACCAAAATAGAAATTCAGCTCTGAAATGGATGCAATTTGCCAGGAGAAAAGAACACTGTATCAATATAAAGTGTTTTGAGCAGAGTACTGTAGGTTCTATCAGACCCGTTCAGAGGTTAGCAGTGTCTGAGACAAGAGGCTTCTGGTAGGAAAACAAAGGTCTCCTACTCTCCTAAATACTGTAATAATTACAAAGGTGAAAAAAAGAGTGAAGGAGAACGGATTCCCCTTAAAAATTGAATGTGAGTGGTCTGCAAAGTCCTGACAGGCAGGAGATGAGTGTTGTAGTTGCTTGCTTTTGTGTGTCTCAGGTTGAGCATGGAGGAATACAACATGGTGTGACAGGAAGAGCATGGCCCTGGGATGAAGGCAGACCTGCGGTGCAGTCTCTCCCACCATTTTCCTGTGTACGACATCGGGCCAGTTCCTGAGCCTTCCTCAGTCTTTGTCTTCCTATCTGAAGCCTGGAGATGATAACAGTACCTGCCTTGGAGGGCTATTGGGGAAACTAAACAAGCCATCTGTGATGCTCCTCGTGTGGTCCCAAGAATGCATCCAAGAAATTTCAGTTTCCTATACTAACCTTGCTTAAATAAAGAGATTGGTAACTAGTCTACATTTTTTAAAATAATGCCTCATTCCCTCTACCAGGAGCAGAGTGCTTTGAATGGACCTCATGCCAAGCCCTGAAAGGAATCTTTTTCTCTCTGTCCTCTTTATGACATCGCCATCTCCAAGGCTACATCTGGAGGCAATTTCACTCATCTTAAATATATTTTATCATCTTTATTTTGGCCTCTGATTTTTTTTTTTTTTTTGATAGCTAGACTTCTCATTTGTTTCTCAGTTCCATTTCTCACCAGGATGAGAGTTAGCCACTTCCTCACCACAAAGTTAAGGTTGATTTGAAGCATGAGAGAGAAACTAGGTGATTGTGGCATGTTCTGTGAAATCCAGACAAAAGAGAGAATAGAGGCAGCAGCACCACAGGTTGGGTAAGAGCCTGTGTGCTGAAATTAACAGACCTAGTTTCAAATGTGGACTCCACTAATTGCTAAGGTGGTGACCTGGGGAAAGGCAGCAGACCTCCGGGCATCCAGGTCCTCCATAAGATAAGGAAAATGATCCCATCTCACTGGGTAGTTGCAAGGGTCAGACAAGATTCAGTACATAAAGTCCTCAGCATAATTCCTGACAGAAAAAACTTCTGATAAATCATGCTTCTTATTATTAACGTCGCTCAGGTTAAATATAGCATTTTGCAAGGTCAGTACTTGCGTGTCTTACCTATGACATGGCGTAACTAACTGAGAGCTAGCGGGGAGGGCAGCCAAGAAAAGAGTTTTTGTTTACTCTAGTAATGAAAAAGCTTCTTGATATTTTGTTTGTTGAAATATTCTTTGTCTTTTATGGCTCTGAAGCAAATAAACAGATGACCTTGCACCCACCTACCTTTGGACATTAATTGAGCAATTACCATGTTCTAGGCTGGATATTGGTTACATTTGTGTCCAGGGTTGGGAAGAAAGTATGCCCAACTGGTTCTGTCTCCAACATATATTCCAAATCTGTCTGCTCCTCTTCTCACTGCCACTCCCAAGATGGAGTCCTTGTCATATTTCATCAGAACCACTGCCTCCCTAACTAGTCTCCCTGCATCCACTCTTGCTTACCCACAATCTGCTATCTAGCAATAGACAGAACAATATGCTAAAAATATAAACCAGATATGGTCACTTGCTTAATTAAATACACTTCAGCATAATATTTCAACCCTTATTGTGGCCTGTAGAGACCCTGTGTGGCTGGACCCCTGCCCACAGTATCTTACCTGATATTGTGCCCCACACTGCAGGCTCCAGTCACATCAGCCTTTCCTGAACCCCTCCCTCCAGAGGGCTGAGTTGCACCCACTGAGTCCTGCTGGTCCCTCACCCTAGAAGGCTCAGCCACCTAGTCTAGGAATGTGGCTGCTTCTCACCCCATAGGTTTGGTTTAAATGCTGCCACCTCGGAGAGACCTTCATAGACAGCCCCTCTCTAGGATGTTCCCATTTTCTTCTCCACGTGGTACCCTCTTCTCTCTCTTATGAGAAGCACTAACTTCAATGTGTAATTTCCCTCCTCTTATTTTTATCGTCTGTCTGGAAGCTCCAGGCAGGAGAGACCCTGCCTGTCACATTCTCAATCGTGTTCTCTACAGGGACACGGCACAGAACAAGACCTCTGTCGATACTTGTTGACTAAAGGGAGGATCAAAACATTTGCAAAAGCAAAAGAAGAAAACCACTTAATATTTTCCTACAGTAAGGGTTGGTGAAAACGCAATCTGATGGTAATCAGGAGAGCCTGTAGTGTACACGTACTTGGTGTTAGTTATCAGCAACAGATCGCTGAGCAAGAAGAGGTGCCGCTTCTGCCTCCTCCAGCCTCTTCTGAGTTCCACGGGGCCGTGGATCAGCAGGGTGCGGCCGGCACTCTCAGATGACGTAGCATTTTCACTGTGGGTGTCCACCTCAACAGAAGAGCTTTCCCTGCAATGCAGCAAACACCACAGGACAACCAATCACCCATCAAATACCTGATAGAGTTTTGTGCCAAAGGTCAAGGTTAACACGACACTAAAAATTAGCCTCGATCCCCAAAACAGAACTCTATAGCTCAAATTCAAGTCACCAAATTACAGAAAGCTATTAAAAAAGATGAGGGCACACAGGGAGTTGAGGTAGATGGAGAACGGTTGCAAGGACATGCCCCGGGGCATGCCAACTCTTAGAGGTGGGGAGAAGGGGACAGCAGCAAAGCAAAGATGGCCACGAGCTGTTGGGAAGGGGAGAATCAAGAGGCCAAAGGTTGAGAATATTACAAGAAGGTAAAAAAAAAAAAAAAAAAAAACCCAAACCCCAGGACAATTTGTGGCCTGAGACAGATAAAATGAAGTGATCTGGAGATTTGTGAAAAAGTAATTACAATTTAGTTTCAAGTTAACATAAAAATTTGGATAACTGAAGATTCTGGAAAATTGACTCCAATCGTATCTAAATCAGTATTCAAGTTTTGGGGGGAAATTCTCAAAGATCAGCAAATAATACTGGAAACATCAAAAAGTTTCTAAACACAACAGGGTCTTAGATATTATTTTGTTGAGCTATAACTAAGCTCTAAGCTATGACTCTTTGGTCATAAAAGGTAAAACAACTAAATTTCACAGGACACAAAAACTCTTTCATAAGTAGGGAGATATTGTCATAGATCTACAGAAAATTCTCTCTCATGGAGCCAAGAAAGAGTCTCCCTTGAGTATGTAAAGCCTGCTTTCTGTGCTCAGCAGCACTGAACCTTGTGAACATGAGGAGCTTTCATGAAAGCAGTGCTGAAGGTAAGAATCAGTTCCCAAGTTTTAGGAGAAACAAAACAGAACACTTCCTGTGACTACTAGTCCCTTTGGACGACCAAGAGTAGTATATTCAAAGACTACCTGCTGAGGTGAAGCCTTGAAGGACTGCCTAAAAGCTCAAAGTGCTTTTTGATTGATGAAAACATCCCGTTTTCTTCAGTTCTTGGCACTGACTATCGAGCACGTCTACAGCACTTGGCAGAGCACTGTAAACTAGGCCCTGAAGCCTGAGGATTCTGCAGTTGTCAAGATCACCAGCCGTTATGACGTCAGGGTTCTAAGGCGCAGGCCATAACTGACAAACTGACATAACTGTTTCCCTGGTTTTGCCTCCATCTTTTGAGTTTTTAAAATTAATCTATTTACTTTGAGATAACTGTAGATTCACAGGAAGTTGTAAGAAACAAGCCAGAGAAATTACATCAACCTTTTACCTTGTTCCCCCAATGGTACTATCTCTCTAAACTATAGTACAATACCATAATTAGGATAGTAGCATTGATACAGTCAAGACACAGGACATTTCCATCACCACAGGATCCTTTCTCTTCCTCTTTGACAGCCACATAGACTTCCTTCCCGCCACTACCACCTCTTTAATTCTGGGCAACCATGCCTCTGTTCTCCACGTGTGTAATGTTGCCATTTCAAGAATGTTACATAAGTGAGATCGTACAGTATGTGTCCTTTTTGGATTTGCTCCTTTCCACTCAGCAAAACTGGAGATTCATCTGGATTGTTACAGATACTCACAGTTCATTTCTTTGTGTCTCTTAGTTGTATTCCATGATGGAGATATGTCAGTTTGGTTAACCAAATGTTGAGGGACTTCTGGGTTCTCTCCAGTTTTTGACTATTACAAATAAAGCTGCTACAAACATTTGTGTACAGGTTTTTGTGTCAAGGTAAGTCTTCATTTCTCTGGGCTAAATGCCCAGGCGTGCAATTGCCAGGTGGCGTGGTAGCTGTGTGTTTTGCTTTTTAAGAAACTGCCACACTGTTTTCCAGAGTGGCTGTGCCATTTCACAGTCTCACCAGCACTGTCCGAGTGATTCAGTTCCCCCACATTCACACCAGACCAGAGATGCTCAGGAGGCCACACTGCCTGGCCCAGAGACAGAGAATTTCTCAGAGGTTCTGGAGGCCTGATTTTTCTTCCTCCTCGTCAGCAGTTTGGGAAGAAGGCGCTGGGGTTGCTGCAGGCAAATTGCCCCCTCACTGCCACCATTGTTGCTGTTTCCAGTGGAGGTGAGTGTGGCGGTCTGTCCCGGGGACTTGGTCACTGAGGGCGGCTGAGTCAGCCCTGCCTGGGCCACAGACACTGTAGGGCACAGAGGGGAGTGTGCAGGCAGGATCCCAGCTCGCTGTGAAGGAGGGTGGGGGCGTGGGGCAGAGCTGGGGGTGGATCTCCATCCCGAGGGTAAGTCACTCTCACCTGTGTGGGGAGTGAGGCGGTGAGGAGGAGAGGAGCCCAGGGCACGGGGGAGACTCAGACTCTGAGCCTTAAAGCTCTGCTGTGGAGACGGAGCTGCCCTATGTCTCTCTGTATCTCCTGAAACTTCCGTGGGGGCGGAGCGGATACAATCTAATCAGCCCTTGCTCTCTGTCTGCCCCTGGCTTCCCTGCCCTGGTCCTCACAGGGAGAAGGAGGAAGAGGAGGAGGGATGAGCTGCCCCAGGGGGTGGAGGCCCTGGCTCTTGATGACCCTGGGTCCTGGAGGTCAGCACAGCCCAGTGAGCGCACTGACAGCTGAACCCCTGGAGCCCTGGGTGGCTTCCCAGCAGGGAGGGACCATCTCAGGATTGTCCCACACTGTCCCACACGCCCTCAGACCCCACCCCACCCAGACTCTCTGACACACCTGGGCCCTCCGGTTAGAGGAGCACTGTTGTCCCGATGCTCTTCATGAAGCTGCTCCTGGTGTCAGAGAGGGACCTGGGCAGCTGGGATTCCAGACACAGGGTGTGTGGGTTGAGGGATGTCCTTGTCACAACAAAGAGGCCACAGCAGCTTGCCTTCAGCTGCATCAGCATAGCATTCACCATCACTTAGAGTGTCTACTAAAAGTCCCAATATAGAGATTATATCCTGTTTCCCTTTTTCACGGGCCCAAGGTGCACAAAACTCAATCACATATATTTTCTTAGCACTTTCACTATTAGTCACTAAAAGGTCTTTCTTTCATATTATTTTTTCTAAACTTGGTGTACCAGTTTAAATCACATATCTCTCTTTCCATAGGCAGCTACTCGAGGGTAAATAATGTTTTTCCTTCTGGACCTACAAGTACCCTTTTATATCATCTGGAGCTAATCATTGTGTGTCTCTGTGTGTGTATTTTTATATTGAATAGACACATTTATTTCTTTACATCATATTCTGATTTATTCTGGCTTTTTAAAAACTTTTAACTCAAAATGTTACTTTTACTATTTTGCAAAGTAAAATCATTTAAGTATTTTTAACTGGTTATCACTCCATCTACTATGCTATAGTTACAAATTCCCCTTGTGTTGGGCACTTAGGTTGCTGTCAGTGCTTTGCTCCTAGCATGGAACTTCCTGTCAGACTTTCTTGTGTCCTCATGCAGGAATGGTCCAGCTGCAGGCCAGGTACATGCACACTTAATTGCTCCATGTGCTGAGAGGCTTGCCTCCAGATGGACACACTTGTTTACACACCAGCTGTACATGGGAATCTGTGATTCCTCACATCCTCACTGGCATGTTATTATTATTTTTCGTGTGCAGCATCAGATATAGTACAGTGCTTGCAGGTATAGTTTTGTTCTACGCGATCAATGACTGAATGCCTCATTCAGACATAAATTGGAAATTATCAGAGAGTGCACAAGAGCGCCCATTTTCTCCTCCTCACCGCCTGATGCCTCCCTGCCCCACCTCGGTCCCTGGAACCTCTTTTTCTCTGTTAGGGCTGGGTGAGATTCTGGCTGCCCCTTAGCCCATCTTATCCCCCCAGACCCCTCTCCCTCTGCTGTTTACTCTGTCTGGGCAGCTCCTCCTGTAGGGACATGCATGGCTCACTCCACACCTTCTCTCAGGAGTCCCTCCCCTTCTCTTCGTTTCTAGTGTCACTGAGCACATGCTCACGGGATTTTATCCACTCTGCGTCCTTGCAAATATCTTTCCACTGCCTCCACCCTTCAGTTGTCTTATCTATGGTATCCTTCTTTGAAAAACTGCTGAAGCAATTGCAGTCAAATTTTCAAATGTTCCCTTTATGATTTGTGCCTTGAATTTATTTTAAAAAATGCTTCCTACTTGAGATAGTTATTATTTTCCTGTATTTTAACTAGAGGTTGCATGCTTTCAATGTTCTCTTTTAGGTTATTAACACATTTGGTTTTCCTTTATTAATACTGTGATTTATGTACCTCACTTAATTTTTCTCAACAGAGTGAGCAAAATTTGCGAGAACGTATAATAATAAACCCATCCTACGGTAGCTATTTTTTAAAAAGTACCTGTATAACAATGCCAAGACTCGTAATACAATGATTTAATTACAATTGCTTTGTACAATACTACAGCATCTGTTCTTATTTCCTTGTTTTTGAAAATTATCTTGTCTTTTCTGTAATTTTTCCATGTAAATTTTCAAATAAGTTGGACAAATCTCTAAAATATCACTGTCATTTTAACTGCACTGTATCACGTTGGTAGAATCATACTGTGACACCGCCATCATTCAAATGGGATTCATACAACCCATTGCCGTGGCATATCTCTCCTTTTGCACTGGATTTTATGTACTTTGATATTGTTTTACATTTTTTCCTATGTAATTTGTCACACCATTTCCTAATTAATTTATAAAATTAGTTATTATAGATGATCTGTGTTTTATTTTTCAAGATAGAAAAGAAATACCAGTGATGCCCTCACCTCAGGGAGATGGTCAGAGGGAGGTGCCTCTGCAGGGGCTGCAGGACTCAGTGGTGACAGGAGAGCAGATGGTGAGGGAGAGGCCTGGGCACAAGGGCTTCACTTCTGCAGGAGCCGGGGACCCGTGTGAGACCCAAGGCTGCTGGGTCGGCTCCAGCGCAGTCTCTAGGTCCTTCTTGTTTCTGACATGACTGGAGTCAGCCTCCCTCTGTCCCCATCACTGTCTCTCTGGAGAGACCGAGTGCCCTGGACAAGGAGCTCCTGCCTGGGTGAACATCACCAGGTAGAGACTGTGCCATTAGGAATGGCTCAGTCCACAGCTGGCATGAGATCTGAGGGGATATCCTCAGACCATCACACCCGTGTGGGGGGTCTCAAGCCCTCAGGTGCTGGTGACAGAAGTGACAACAATCACAGGGGAGTGACGGTGTGGTCAGGGGCCCCAGGGGCTGGTTTGTGTCTCACTTCATCCTGGGCACACAGCACTGTGTGCATTGAGGTCTCTGTCATATGTGTGAGAGTAAGAATCACCTCATCCTCAGGCCAGAGCCCACAGGTGGTAAGAGAGGGGAAGTTACCTGACTTAGAGACAGACTCATCTGGAATCTCTGAGGGCTGAGTACTTCCAAGAGTCAGAGTTTTGGGGCAATGCCACTAAGAGCTGGAACCATAGATGTTATAGGATCCAATGTCACTGCTGCTTCCAGAGTCCCTGACTCTGAGGACGGCTGAGACAGCAAAGACTATAGCCAGGACCCTGAAATGAAGGACATAGAGTCATAGAGATGGAGAGTCAGGGCCCTGCCCAGAAGCCAAGCTGAGCATCTGCACAAAAGAAAGCTCCATATATGTTTCCAGGGTCCCTCCCCTGACCTTAGAATGCAGTCACCTGTTTGATGAGTGAGTGGGTGAGGCGAGGGGTCCAGACCATGGTGGAGATGCCCAGAGCTCTCTCTCTAGCTCCCAGCTGAGACAGAGATGCTCAATTATCCCTCATCCCTTCCTTCACTCTGTTGGAAGTAGGAGCCCTTCATTTAAATTATCCCCCATCCTCCCACTGTCCCAGCTGTCTGTGAACCAAGACTCAATCCCCTTTGCCTTGGAGTTTGTTTTGGGGGAGTGTGGGGCTGGTGAACTTCTGATGTGGGCACATCTGGGGCCTTAGGAGGATAAATCTGCTGGGCCCCAGGGAGCACTGAGCAGAGGGCACAGCTAAGCAACCAGGTCACAGCTGGGGTCACAGCTGTGGTCTCACCACATGTGATTCAGACACATGCCCACAGCACTCCCTGCTGGCCCTGGTACACTTTGCACCATGTCTGAATTCAATGTCACATCCTGCCTGAGGA